ACAACGCTTAATCTTGTTTGCAATTGCCTATAAAAATATCAAAACCAAAAATCATATAATAAAACATTTCTATTTTCTAATTAACAACATTAGCAATAAAGTCTGGCCACTCACATCTTTTGAGTCGAGTAAATTAATTCGAGATTGATCTGAAGTAGCAGATTTCGACATCTATATAATAAAAAACATTAAAGGTAATACAAATATATAATTAAATCATTGCAAGATATATTATATATTAGGGTTTAGGGTTTAGGGTTTAAGAAATACCTTAGAAAGACCATCAGTAAGGGACATGACACGTGCTCCAGTTGGTGGAATTAAGGGCTCAGGAACCTTAAAGATTGAACCACCACGTCTGCAAAATCAATAAAAAATATATATATATATATATATATATATATATATATATATATATATATATATATATATTTAGTCAATAAGTCAATGGCATCAACTAACTATCTTGATTATTATGTCATACTTACCCTCCTAATTTTTTCCATTTCCTACCACCATATAAATGATTAATCCGTTCAGCCAATTCTCGTGTCAATTCTAAATGCTGCTTTTGATCCTCGCCAACTGGGACTAAATCAGACTGTAAAAATATAACTCAACGGTTTCTATTTTCTAATTCTATAAATGAAATTGGATAATGGAATATGGAATATGGAATATGGTAAGGTCAATGATGAGTCAAACCTGATAAAGAAGAATATCAGAAGCCATCAACACCGGATAGGTCAAAAGTCCAACCCCAACATTTTCATCCCCCTAAAAACAATAACAAAACAACCATCATTAATTTCAAAAAAACAATCTTGAATTAGCAAATATTATTCTAATTTTGGATAATTGGCATGAAGAATATGATTATGAATTGTAGAGAATGAGCTGGCATACAATAAAGACGCACCGCCTTACGCGATTTCTCTTTGAACTGAATCATTCTGTTGAGCCAACCGATTGGTGTGGCTGAGCTCAGCAGCCACATCAGCTCTACATGAGCACGAACATGAGATTGAACAAATACAGAAGCCTGTTTGTATACACACATTTTAAATTCAGTTTGCAACATTAAATTATTATTATTATTAAATTTTCTAAAAAAAAAAAAAAGACCTTTGAGGTGTCCACACCACATGCCAAATAAAGTGCTGCGGTTTCTTTAGTTGCTTTAGACAGTTGTTGGACATCATAAGGTAGAGTTATCTGTGTTTTTGTTACAAAACAAATGAAAAGCACAAATTGATGAATATATAAATTATGATTAGTATGCATAAATCATTTATTAGTGCCCATACCGCATGGAGATCCACAATAAAGAATAGTGTCTCATACTTATCCTGACAGAAAAAAGAAAACATTTTTTTTAAATAAATGATCGGTTAATTAATTCTTTAAACCATATAGAATGATTTATACATTAATGAAACTGGTACCTGTAGTGATACCCAATTTTTTATTGCACCAAGATAATTCCCAAGGTGTATAGATCCTGTTGGCTGGACACCAGACACGATTCTCTTTCTGTAAAATACATTTTTTGGTTAATAGACTTAGTTAAGGACACCTGGAAAGAAAATATAAAAAATCAATTAATGGAGATTTAATATGGTTTACTTTATAGAGGTGGAGGAAGTTTCTGAAATAACAGGTTCAGGGGTTGCAACACTGCAATAGCATCTTTGGCTGCTAACACCTCCAACAATTGGAATATGATTCTCTTGAGTCAAATGTAGTCTTCGTTGTAGTTTACTTGAAGTGCTATAGGACCTGTTTCAAAAAATCAGTTGATTGGATCATTTTTTGGGTAATGATTATGTTCAAAAGTCACCTTTAGAGTTTTTCAAACATCTTCATCTCTCAGAGACAATATGTCAAACACATGGAAGGCATAAGACTAAATTTCAGAACTAAGTCACTGTACATGCCCTGTTCACCTCATCGTTGTTTAATGTTCAGAATAAAACTTCACTGGCAAAGATGATACTAAAAATGACACATGTGGGTAGAGAGATATTTATCAAGAAATGGTTAATTGAGCTACATAAAGTGATGTTCACCATAGGAGTAGAAACATTCTAATCTATCGGCAATTAGCCATTGCCCTACTCCAATTGTACTTTCTATATTCAAGAACAATGAATGGCTATCCGTAAACGGAACAGACAGAAATTCACGGTTTAATATCCACAATTTAAACCTCATCAAAATCAGGAATGTGGCAATAAACCCATCAAAAATTCGAATTTAGCATACATTCTAACTTTTCCATAGAAAGTTTACAAGTAAGACATTCATGACAGAAATCATATCTATTTTGCGATTGAGAATGAAACTCGTTGCATGTAACCAAGTCGGTACAATAAAGAGAGATAAAGAGAGGGTGAAATACATGAAGCGTGGACAAGTGCTGGAGAGATTAACGAACTGAGAAAGAAGGGAGCGGCCCATATTTTTTCGCTCGAGACTCTCCCTGTCGAGAGTTCAGTTTACAGATATGGTGAAGATGAAGACCAAAGAGGGTACTGCTGGAGCCTGGAGTTTTTGTCTTTGTGACTAAGGTTTGAGGGTGTGAACATTTACAGCCCTTAAGTTTGTTATTTTTACATTCCAGCCCTTTGTTATTTTAAAGATTTCCGGAAAATGAGCTTCTTAGTTATCTCTAATTCATTGAACTTTATGCTTCAACTCTTAGATTATCCCCGTTGGGCTATGGGTAGTGGTCACACCCAAGCTAACGAAAAAGCTCTACCAACTCAGCGTTACGTAGGTATTTTACCATTTCATAACCAACCCGCTAGGTTATAGAAATAGTGTTCACCGGTAGGTTGGTAGTGAATGAGAAAAAGGATAGAAAAAAAGAGAAAATGTGAAGGACCAGATTCATAACCAATCAAATGCATTATCTTCATCCATGTCCATGACCACTCTATAGCTAAGCCATTGGACATCGGTACGATGTTCACGCATGACTTGGCTGTCCATGCCACTATGCCAGCATCACATGTCTTCTTCTACCCCCACTCCGAATAGCCTTAGCGAACAACTCACATTGGTTCACCCAAAAAAATAAAAAAATAAAAAGTAAAGAAATGATGTGAACGATCTGCCCTCACAACCTAATTCACCATATCTCTTTCTCCTTTTTATATTTTTTATATTTAATTTATTTTATAAAAATAGATGTTGTATTAATTTTAAAAATAAATATAATATACTCCTAAAATACATAAATAAAAATCCCATACAAAATGAGATTATTGTTGATTTTTTTTTTTATAATTTTTAAAAATAAAATAGTGGATTGGGTTGGATTAGATTGCTAATGTGGATAAAAATTTATGGTTAGTTATGTTATATATGTGGAAGATAGAGAAAATAGTTTTTAATAGATATTTAGGTTGAGTTGAGTTATCAATCACGATGGTCTTAAAGTTCAGAGGATTGCCAATGATGGTAGTCTTAAAGTTCAATAAATTTTCATATCAACATTTTATTATATCATTTTATTAATAATATTAACACGTAAAACTAGAATATTATATTAATTAGAAATTAAAAGTTACAAATTACAACTTATTAACTAAACATTGCGAGTTAGAAATTCAACGTTACGAATAATACATTAAATAAAAAAAATATTGTGTTATCGACATGATTTAATGATACAAGTTAGAACTTAAAAGCTACGTGATAATGCAGTACATTATGCTCTTTAACATGATTTACGGGAATATATTTGGTAACGCTTTATTAATACATAATTTCACTATGTTGTATTATGATAAATAAGATGTTACTGTTTTAAAAAGAAATTAATTATTGTTTAGAATATTATAATATTAATTAACTTAATAAATTAAATTATAAATATAATATATCTCAAAAAAATAATAATATATAGTTTCTTTATGACAAAAAAAAATGTTTGCTTCTATGACAAATGAGTTATGTTAGATTGGGTAAAAGAAAAAAAAAATACAAAATCTCATACCACAGTTTAATGGGATTAAACTCTCATTCATTGAACTTGACCCACAATGGTGGGTTTAATGTATTGAATGTCACCTTATCAACCTTTTGCTCATTGAAAGTGCCATTAAATCTCCATTGGGGATTTGCCTTACCACGAGTCGAACTATATGTTAGTATTTTTTTTTTGTCAAACTCAAATTAAACATGTTTTACCAAATGTGGCTCTTAAAAATATTTCCAAACCTTCAAATCAAGTTTTTATTTTCGACTCATTTAAGCTCTCAGATTTAGCTTGAATTTTTCTAGAGCCAAGCTCAAAATTTTAGGGAGAGTCCTTAAGTTATTGAAGATTCCTTGAGTCATCAAATCAAGTTCAAGTTCATCTTAAGATCACTAGGCAAGTTCAGACTTATCTTAACTTGTTTGCATCCACATTTTCAAACTAAAACTAAAGAACAGTCTAGGTACTAGTTTATCTGTATATTATTTACCTGCTTACCTTTGACCCAATTTACTTTCAGATTTATTGTTTATATCGGTTTTTTTTCTTATGCCACACACCACTGTTTAGGGTTTTCCTTATGCCTGAGATAGCAATGGTAGAGGTTGCCTACATCTTATCATCACCATATTCTTATGGGACTTGTGTTTTGTTATTGTTGAATTTATTATTGCTACCTACAAAATTGATCGTAATGTTGATTTTTAGGGTCAAAATAGTCATATTAAAAAAAAGGCAACTTGTTCTAATCTTTTATTCTTGTACTCAGCAATAATCACTATACAAACACAGAACTACCCAAGTTCTGAAATGTAACAACTATCCATATTGTGAATTTGGAATGTATATATGCAGATTTATTAGAGTGAATAATTATAGCTCAATGTCATTTACAGTGTTCATCAAAGAAAGAAAGATCAAGTACAAATTTGCCAAGATACAAAACTAAATTACTCTAATTTTTACAGTCTTTGTGTGAAGCAACTCTGAAACTTCTATTACCACAAAAACCAAGCTACCAATAATCCCCACAAGAACAAATCCCATCCTTGAAATGATGAAACCGATGCAAATCCCGAACTATAATCTCTCTTTTCTCCACAAGTGATATAAATTTGGTGGCATTATGACAATCACCACAAACACGGAGGTTTTTTCTTATATGAATAGTGTTACCTGGGCGTGTATTCAAAAGCCCATAAGCTATAGCAAGCTTCTCACTATGAACACTCACCATATGTTCTTCAACATCATCTTCTACATCACGCATCAAATCCACATCAGCCACATATCCAGCATCCTTAATCTTCTCCATCAATGTTTCAAGAAAATCATATATCTTTTTACTATCCGAATGCCACGAACTCCCAGAATAGAAACTATGAACCTCATTCCCCAAATCAACAGAGCTAAATCCAGGCGTTTTAACAATCCCTTTTCTTTCCATTTTTGTCCTGATTTCATTCACTTTGTCCCACATTGAAACAGATGCGTATAAATTTGCTAGAAGCACGTAATACCCACCATCATTTGGGTTTAATTTAAACAATCTCTCTGCTGCCATTTCCCCAAATTTTACATTTTTATGAATCCTGCAAGCACCCAACATTGCACCAAAAACATTAACCCCGGGCTCAACGGGCATCTTTAGAATGAAATCCCATGCTTCCTGAAGCCTGCCCGATCTGCCCAACAAATCCACCATGGCTCCATAGTGATCCATTGTAGGGTCAATCGCGTATTTTTCTTTCATAATGGAAAAATATCGAACCCCTTCTTTGATAAACCCCGAATGGCTACAAGCTGAAATTATACACAAAAATGTTATATTATTTGGCTTTATGTTTTCATTTTCCATTTTGTTGAACAATTCTATAGCTTCTTTTCCACATCCATGTGTCCCATACCCATCGATCATAGCATTCCATGTAGTTATATGCTTTTCATCCATCAAATCAAATAGCTTTCTAGCAATACTAATGGCTCCACATTTAGCATACATGTCAACAAGAGCAGTCTTGACAAAAACATTTCTGTCAAGAAAAGATCTTGTCACAACTCCATGGATCCACTTTGCTTGTAGTAAGATTGATGATTCTGAAATGGCTGAAATGATGCTCACCATGGTGAAAGAATCAGGCTCTATGTTTTCAAGTTTCATTTCACGAAAATGATTTAAAGCTTCGATTACGTGACCATTTTGGGCGTACCCGAGTATCATTGTGTTCCATGAAACTCTGGTTTTTTCTTTCATGTTTTTGAATAGTTTACCTGCAATTTCGATTTGTTTACACTTGGAATACATGGAGATTAATGAGTTTGTGAGGGGAATGTTGTTTTGTAAACCGAGTTCATTGGCTAACCGATGAAGGAATTGGCCACGGGAAAGATCACCGGAATCAGCACAGGCATGGAGAGCTGCCATGATGGTGACGCCGGTTGGTTTGATTCCGTCGTCCAACATCTTCTGGAAAAGAATCAGTGATTCCATGGAATCACCACTTTCTGCATAGCCATCGATCATTATATTCCATGAGACCACGTTTCTAACACTCATCTTGTCGAATATAACGCGTGCAGTACTTAAAGATCCGCATTTTAGATACATATCGAGTAATGCTGTTGAAACATTTGAAAGGCATTCGTATCCTGACCTAAAAATGTAGCCATGGATTGATTTTCCGATTGTTGAATAGCCAAGATTACCAACAGCTGGGAGTACTGAGATTATGGTGATGGGGTCTGGCTTCAGTTGTTCATCTTGCATCTGTGAGACCAATTCAATTGCTCTCCCTGCAAAACCGTTTTGAGCGTATCCAGCAATAATGGTGTTCCAAGACACCAAGTCTCTCTCAGGCAATCTAACAAACACCTTGTGGGCATCATCAATCAACCTACACTTTGCATACATGTTAACGACACAGGTCATGGCATAAACATCGCCTTCGTGTCCGTTCAAAATCAATTGCGCATGAACCTGTTTCCCGTTCTTAACGAGACAGTTTTCGCCACAACCCTTTAATAAATACGTAAAATTGTACACCACCGGCTGCACGCCGTCTTCTATCATACGACAATAGAACGAAAGCCCGTCAAAAATGGAAGAATTCTGAGCATATCCTTTAAGCATTGTGTGATAAAGAGCATCGTTTTTATTTTCGATTGGTTCGAAAACACGGGTGGCTTCGGTTAAGCTGCCGTATTTGCAGAACAAGCTGACCAGTTTCGTCTGAAAGAGATGTTCTTCATAGAGACCATTTTTTATAATAAGAGGGATGATTTGGCGAAGTTCTTCCATGGAAGTGCAGAGTTCCAGGAGAATTGCTGCTGGATGTTTGTAAACATGAGCTGGAATGTGGGTTCTTTGAGCGAGTGTGTGTTGGATGCGAGAAGATGACGGTGATAAGGAAGATCGTGATGTCGTAGAGAGTGATGCGACGGGAAGTAGCTGTGAACTCATCACGACTTTTGGTTAACTCGTCACTTTGAATTGCAAGAACAGTTGATTGTTCTTCACAGACAAAGATATCATCAGAACACAAAAATCTTACCCGGAAACGGGAATTTGAAAGGCCGCAAAAGCAATTTCCCAATTTTTACAAATCTTCAAGCAACTTGTCATTGTACGTTTTATATATATTTTTTTCAAGTAAATAGTTGTATAAAAAAATTATAATTATCCACACTAAGAAATAAAAATAATTTTATCACTGTAACTTAACTTATATGTACTATATAACATGTAATTTTGTGGTAGATTTAATTTAATTTAAATTAAATTAAAAATTATATATATATATATATATATATATATATATATATATATATGTTCAGGTTCATTTGAGATTATTCTAAAATTGTGAGACCGTGAGACCAAATCTAAAAATAATTTTAAAATATAAAATAAATGGAAAAATCCAAAAATTCTTTTTTTAAATATTATTTTCAGAACTTAACTTAACTAAAAAAATAAAAAATAAAAAAAAAATCCCGTTTTTTTTTTAAAGTACGTGAAATATTCTAATAGAATATTACACTTACATATTCTAAAAAATAATTTTAAAATGCAAAATAAATGGAAAAATCTAAAAAAAAAATTGAATATTATTTTCGGAACTTGAATTAACTAAAAATAAATAAATAAAATCCCATTTTTTAGAAAAATACGTGAAGTATTCTAATAAAATATTACACTGTACATATTCTAAAAAATAATTTTAAAATGCAAAATAAATGGAAAAATCTAAAAATTCTTTTTTTAAATATTATTTTCGGAACTTGAATTAACTAAAAAAATAAAAAAAAATAAAAAAAAAATCCCGTTTTTATTTTTTTGATAAATACGTGAAATATTCTAATAGAATATTACACTATACATATTCTAAAAAATAATTTTAAAATGCAAAATAAATGGAAAAATCCAAAAAAAAATTAAATATTATTTTCGGAACTTGAATTAACTAAAATAATAATAATAATAATAATAATAATAATAATAATAATAATAATAATAAAATACGTCTCACGGTCTTACAAAATATAGGTGATCTCAAATGAACCTAACCCTATATATATATATATATATATATATATATATATATATATATATATATATATACACATATATATATATATAGTAAATTACACGAATGGTCCCTATGGTTTGGAGTAATTTGCGCATTTGGTCCCTAACTTATTTTTTTAACTCGGAAGGTCCCTACTTTGTGTTTTTGTTACGCGCTTGGTCCCTAGTGTTTGTTTTTGTTATGCACTTGGTCTCTATCTTACCTAAAAAGACTATTATTTAAATAGAGAAAAATGGTGTGGTAGGTAAGATAAGATGAGATGGGCAAGGTTGGGGGGTGTATTTATTTAAATAAATTAAAAGATCAAAGGGAAAATGGTATTTTTAGGTAAGACAGGGACCAAGCGAGTAACAAAAGCAAACAGTAGGGACCTTTCGAGTTAAAAAAATAAGTTAGGGATCAAACGTGCAAATTACCCTAAACCATAGGGACCGTTCGTGTAATTTACTCATATATATATATATATATATATATATATATATATATATATATATATATATATAATACTTAAATGTAATAAATATAAAGATATATAATAATAAATAGATATCCAATTCATCAATGTAACTTTCTTTATAATTTATTATTTTCTAAATTCAATCTAATTATTCTACTTGTTTTTTTACGTAGATTACTAGTTTAAACTTAAAAAATAAATAAGCATTTCAATTTTAATAATTAAATATTTTTCTTTTTTATAAATTAAAATTTTCTAAATTATTATATATGCATGTTATTTTTTTGGATAAACCATGTAATACATGGGGCTTACAACTAGTATATTTATATTCCAAAATTATATCAATTACAACATTTTGTGAAGTTTAGATTTTTTTGGAATGGCAAAGGCATATACTTTATTCTTTTTCTAAACTACATTTATCAATGTCCACTGACTTGAACATCCAGTGTAAGGTAATTGAGAAACACATTTCACCAACAACTAATATCTCTACGGTACAAACTTTTTGCTCCCAATTATTTGATATATTGGATAAATAATGGTTGTGATGATTAATATCTAATAGAGAACCAATTCAGTTTCATAAGTGAGGTGTAAAAGTTGAGGTAATTCACATTTCCAAATGTTGTATAGAGAAATATAAAGAAATAAGTGGGTACTTTCATACAATGTTTGTTGATATCGGGAATGCATATGATAGCATACCATGTGAGATGATTTGGAGGACTCAAATAAATGGATTCCAAAGAAATATGCCATGGTTATATATTGGTTGGCAAGCATTTGTGCCTGAATTTTAGCAGGTCTTTTCTATGTAGAAACAGGCTCTACCATGGATCAACACTTAGCCGATGCATTATTTTTTTTTTTTATCATGGTTTATATTTTTCGTGGGATTCAAGGAGGTGTGTCATAGTGTATGTTTTTTTTCGATGATATTGTGTTGTGGCATTAACAAGAATGAAACTAAATGTTGGTTGGATATCTGGAAGTCGAAAAAGGATAATAGATTAGTACAGTTAAGAAGGAAGTAAATGATGACATTACTCAATGCATAAATGGTGAGATGGTTAACGTGTACGCCAACTATAAGAGTATTATGTGAGAAGGTCATGTTTTAGATCAAATGAAAAATCCAGAGAGAGGGACAATTATGTCAATTATGTTGTATGGCTCCGAAAGTTGGCCAATAAATACAAAAACACAAAAGAGAATGGAAATTGTGGAAATAAGGATGTTATGGCGTGCATGCGGTAGAACAATATTGACCGCATGTGGTAATCAACAATAAGTTGGGAATTATGTTGGCTGCCAGAAATTAAGGGAAGGAAGATTGTGATGGTTTTGAAATATTAAAAAGAGGCAACTATCAACCGTAATAAAGACAGTGCATACTGTTACGACCAGTAGGACAATACGAGAAGGAAAGAAGATAGTTTGAGGTTATCACATGAAGAGGTTGACATTTTAAGACATGAGGGAATAAGACATAAAATTAAAATAATGGAGTAATATATGTCTTAGTTACTTATACCATGTTGTGTGTAATTAAGTAACTATCTTCATAACTCATTTCACTTATTACTGTTAGTATTATTCTTAGGGGGTGTTTGGGGTATCTTTTCAAAGGGCAAAAGAACTTTTGGGAAAAGTTCCAAAAAGCCAGGTTTACCTGACTTTTCCAAAAAGTCAGTTTTCCTTCTATAAAAAATCCAAAAGAAGCTTTTAAGAAGCTTTTACCAAACATTTTTTCTTTATTATCTTTTTCCAAAAATCATTTTGTCTTCTTAAAAGATATCTCAAACACCAGTTTTAATATTGAATCATGCACACTTCTTAATGTCCAAGGTCTAAGAGGGTTTTTTGGGATTCATTTTCAAATTGACTTTTTGGATTTTTGGCTTTTTCAAAAAATTAAAAGCCTAAAAAGGTGTTTGGCAATATTAAAAGTTCTTTTAGAATCATTTTTTTGCCAAAAAGAAAAATAAATTGTTTTAAAAGCTAGGAATTTACAACTTTTTGTGATTTTTGGCTTCTATCTTCTTCAAAAATTATCCAAACACATTTTAAAAACTTCTTTTGAAAAAGCTATTAGGCTGGAGAGAGTGGTGCCACTGAAACCGCACTTCCTCCTATGCCACATAGATGTCAACTCATACTTTTTCTTATTTCATCAATTTGATACCACAGCAAGGGAGTGGGAGAATGGTTAGGAAAGAAAAAAAAATTGATTGGTAGAGAGAGGAGAGAGAAAGCAAATAAAGGAGGAGAGAGAGAATGGGAGTGCGGTAGAATTTGGGTGAAGAGAGAATATGCGGTAGGAGCCGCAGTGTGGGGGTGGTGTTTTGGGTGATGATGTGACGGAACCGTGATTGAAACTGCATCCACACCCTCTAGTCTAAGTCAAAAAGCTTTTTTTGTCAAAAAAAAAAAAAAAAAAGTTAAAAAGCAACTCATACAACACCTTAGTATGGAACCAAGTTCTCTATCAATGTTAACTTCTCTGGATGAGTCTTGCCTCTTCTTTACCCATGACAATACAGAATCGGGATAATTATATTTTTCTTCCATCATTCTTATGTTATCAATATATCATTTTACTCAAATATACAACTAAACAAAAGGAGTTAGTTTCTTAAATAGAAACTCTCAAGAATAATTATATTATTCTAAAATAGACATATATATATGATATTGAAGGACATAAAAGAAGATTGTAAAATGTTCATATAAGGTAAAGCACACCCTCTAGGCGGTCCATGAAGTGGGGGTAAATCATAGATCCCTATCACTATTTTGGGGGTGTCACGGCTTATATAAATGTTACATCAGTTCACCCATTTCTTGATGTCTGTGATTCATCAAGTTTAGGTTAAATTAGATGAAAGTCAGTCACAATGTCAACCCAAAATCCAAAACATCATATACGGAATCTCTCTCTCATCCTCAACATGCGGAGATAACTTTCTTCAAAAATAAGGTTTGAAATTGTGCTTACACCAAATCAAAGTTTCTATTAAAACAATCATAACAGCTATTTAACTAGCAAAACTGTCTCTTATGATTGTTAATCACCATCCTCATTGCCTACGTTACCATTTGTGTCTTCCCAACAATCCTCCAATCTGCATGTTGAACTAAAGACTAACTAAATCAAATAACTTACCAAGTATCTAACCTTCGATTGTAAGCTTGAAACATGAAACAATTTATGCCTTTGATTTCTTTCCTTTTGCTTCTTTGATAACAGTGGATTGAAAAGGCAAGAAAGTCTTGCCACCCATGAATCCCTGTAGCACTGTTGGCACTTCAACACCATCTTCTTTCTGGTAGTTCTCAAGTATACAGCATATAGTCCTCTCTGTTGCTGTGAGGGTAGAATTTAATAAATGACAATACTGCTTTGTCTCCTCATTACTCTACACAAGTCAAAACACACCTCAAAGTCAACACAACATATTTTCCAAGTTACAAATACAATTAAAACCAACCTTCTTTTGCCCATATCTAATCTCCAGTTTTCTTGATTGATAATCAGTGCAGTTTGAGCACGAAACAAGCTCTCTGTAAGTACTGGATGCAGGAAACCATGCTTCTAAATCATACTTCTTTGCAGCAGCATCGTTTAAAGCACCAGAAACAACAGAAACTACCTGATATGGAAGTTTCAACATCTGATAAAACTCCTCTGAGTTTTTCATCATTTCTTCATGCATGTCCCATGAATCATTATCATTAGGGCTGGTGATGCAGAACTGTTCTAGTTTCTCAAACTGATGAACACGAAAAATCCCAAGAGTGTCACGCCCATGTGATCCAGCTTCTTTACGAAAACAAGATGAATATGCTGCATATTTTAATGGCAGCTGTGTTGGATGGATCCAATCATCCATGTGATATGCACAAAGTGGTTGTTCAGCAGTAGCAATCAAGTACTTGTCATCTCCTTCACCTGTTACCTTGTAGAGTTCTTCATCAAATTGTGATAATTGAGCACATTTGGCCATGATATCTTTTCTCATGAAGAATGGAGTCTGCAACAGTGTGTAACCCTTCTTCTCCAAGAAATCAAGGCCAAAATTCACTAGAGCTTGATTGAGACGCACACCATCTCCTTTTAGATAATATCCTCTACCACCAGCAACATTGGCACCTCTTTTCAGGTCTGCAATTCCAAGAAGATCGACAAGATCCACGTGATTTCTCAGTTTTGCTTCCTCCCTCTTCTCTCCCCAACTCCGAACTATCTCGTTATCTGCCTAAATTTGTTCATTGGTTAATCAAAATAGAATGGATTACCGAACTTGCAAAACGTAATTTGTCATGTAGAACATCTAGGGTTCCAATATCAAGACGTCAAACAAGCATAATGTATATTGAAAGGATACGCACCTCATCGTTGCTAACGGGAACAGTGTCATGAACAATATTTCCAACCAGATTCAGATTTGAATGCAATGCTCTTTGGGCCTCCTGAACCTGTGCTTCTTTCTTCGCAGTCAATTGCTTGTTTTCCTCGGTATCTTTAATCAATGAAGTCGCATCTTGTCCTGCAATTCTGAGTTTGGCGACTTCTTTGTTGATCTTGTTGAAATCCTTTCGGAACTGTTCCAGCTCGAATTGACGGCTTTTCCATTCTTCGTAAAGTTGAATGATTTTATCAACAAGTTCAACATTAGCAAACCGCCGTCGCTGAGATTCGCGTATAATCTCTGGATTGCGCCTGAACAGATTTATTCCCAACATTATTTAAGTGTCTCTCTTGTTTGCATATATGGAGATCGAAGAAGAACAAGAAGAAGCAGATGCAGAGCTGAACCAAGAACAGAGACCGCTTTAGGCCGGAGGAATGTTAGCTGCTAGCACTACCCCGTTCCCGAGTTCTAACAGGAAAAAAAAATAAAAAAAAAATTGACGAAGAGAGAAGAAAAAAGGGTTTGGAAAGAAAAAATAAAATTATTAAATTTTTTTCATTTTTCTCCGGAAGATTTGGAAAGAAAGAACAAAACGATTAATTTTACTTCCATTTCTTTCTAACTCAGAAATGAAATTTTTTTTTTTTTCCTTCTTTTTTTTTTCTTTTCTTTTGTTAAAACTTAGGAACTAGGTGTAGAGGTGGCAATCGTATCGGGTTCGTATCGTATCGAAATACTAAACGGGTTGAGAGTGTTTGATCCTAACCTAGCCGGTTTAATTAACGTGCCGTGTCGTATCAACTTGTTTATCTTCGTGTTAAAGGTATACTTTGATATATGTTATGTCATGTAAGGTTAAAGGATTGAACATGTTGAAAAAATAAGAGTTAGATAGACGGGAAGAAAAAATTAATAGTTTGGAGACGGAATAGATAAAATCATAGAAAGTTCAAACTATAAAATTGAAAGAGTATGAGTTGGGGAGGTGCAGGTGGAGAACAAATTATGAGGATGAGAGAGTGATTAAATGGATTATATAGTTTGGGAGAGAATGTAAAAAATGAAAATAAGTCTTGATCCAGATGAGTAAGTCATTTCAATATTACAAAATAACTCAAACCAAATGTTTTCTTTTACTTATTGTTTTGGTTTTGTATCTTTCTAGTTTATTTAAAGAATTCAAAAAACTTGCATATAAATAAATGTGTCATATTCGAGTTGAAATTCTAAACCCTAACATTACCCGCTTAGTTTTCGTATCGTGTTGTGTCAACCCGTTTATTTAAACGAGTTGAAATATCTTACTCAAATTTGTTTATTTTGTATCGGGTTTTGTGTCGTGTCAATTTTTGCCACCTCTACGTAGCACCAATGTTAGTATTTATTCTTAGAGGGTGTTTGTTTTAACTTATTTTTCGGTTGTTTATATTTTAGGCAAATGAAAAAAAATTATGGGTTAGCATATTAGTTGGTTTGGAAATCGGATTAGGTTTAGGTTGGCGGGTTACGGGTTGACGAACAACTCATATAATATATGGGTTGGCGGGTCACGTGTTGGTAGGTTAGAAACCTTAACCCAACCCAACATATATAATCTGTTTAAGTATATGACTTCACGAGTTCATAAGTTAGTGGGTCTAACCCAACTCATATAACTCGTTTAATAAATAAGCAAGGCATTTTCAAAAGTGAGGTTTTTTCGACATAAAATATAAAGTAATTAAAGTGATTAACATAAATTCATAAAGTTATTAACATCCAGTTAAAACTGAAAAATGAAAACATTCATACAAAGTAAATGTGTTCTTCATTTGTGACACGTGAGAATCTGAAAATGACGACATGTGTTTTTTCTTTTTTGATTAGGGAACCGCAAACGCAGATTAGCCACACACGAATACGGAAATAATACAATGAATTGAAGTATTACGAATACGGAAAGAAATCATATTTCATTAATATATATATATATATATATATATATATATAATATATATATATATATATATATATATATATATATATATATATATATTAAAGTTATGAAAACTTTTAACAGTAAATTAACCCCAAAGTTGTCTATTTTGGTCCCTATACTTTGCACCGCCTCAAATGTCTTTCCTTTGATTCCACCGCCTTTGCTATCCAATCGGATGCTGTGTCCTTCTCTCGGTCTAATATCATAACAATTTGTGGGCAAACTCACCGCCTCAGACGAAGACCTCGAAGCTTCTTATGCTCTATGTTCCCTCCACCATCACCGAACCAGTTTATCGCTTTCTCCGCCTCAAATAATCTACATTCCATCACAGAGTCGATTCTGTTGAGAGAACAAATCCATCAAATAATCTACATTCTGTTTGAACTTTATAAAATTACAATATGGGACTTATCCCACATTGGTGAAAGAGGAAACATTTTCCCACCTTATAAGGCTTGTCCCACTCATTTATTCAAATGGACCAAGTAATGGGTTAAGCAAATTGGGTTTGGGTTGTGGTGTTGGACTAGTCTAATTGGGCTAGTAGTAGGCTTGGATTATTAAATATTAATGGTCAAAGATAGGGCCTTGGGCCTTGGGGCTCTTCTTGACTAAATAATATTTTTTTTAATATATAATCCGAAATTAATTAGTCCTTAATTAATCTTTTTATTAATTCAGTAAAAAATAAATTCTGTTAAATAGAGGATTAACTGCAGACAGTTTTTAGCAGTTAATTTCGGTTGGTGGTTTACAACCACCATTAGCAACCTATAAATGAAAGGATCTGAACAGAATTTGAGGGCTAATATACACACAAACTTTCTCTCAAAAATCGTCTATCTTTCCAAAGGGATCATGGTGAATTTCGACAGATTCAAGACCTGTTTTTGAATTGGATTGTTGTATCCTCAAGATAGACCCATCCAGAGAAATTTCTGTCTTAGTACACTGCTAATCATCAAACAAGTTGTATCCTCAAGATAGGCCTCAATCTCTACAATTTCGTTGTTATAATTCTGTGTAATCATCCAAGTATGTTTTTGTAAATTTGATTCTTGTATATTGAATATATCTGAATTTAGTTTGTTTTATTTCATTACTTTGTTGATTGTGTACTTCTGTAATAACACATTTCCATCACAGAGTCGATTCTGTTGAGAGAACAAATCCATATGATCTGAAAACCTCCAACGGCTTTCCTCGCCGCTCCTCCTATCGACTGCTTCTTCTCCTTGTACTTCGATTTCCATTAGCATCGAAGTAACCTAGCAAACCTCCGTGACTCATCTTTGCCATCGCTTTATCAACCGAGCAGGTATAGAAACTAATACCTTCAGTGACGTGTTCTTCTCTGCTTCTTCTAGGTTTTCTGGTATGTGGAGAGGGCTCTTAATATGTCGACAGGTGGTAGTGTTGCACCAACTGCCATTCCGATTGTTGACTGTAAGAATTGTTCTATTGGTTTGAATTTTTTGATTTCTCCTTAATTATGCATAAATTGAATTATGAGAGTATCTTAGATTTCTCATCTCCACCTACTCATCGTCACCATGACCACCACTCAAGATAACGCTGTTGCAGCCAGCAAGTGCAGAGAATGCGACCGCCATTTAGATTCGCGAAGTCCACTGCCTTATGCATCGTCGCGCTCCACCACCGCCATACAAATTTCTATTGATACTGAGAAGGTAATGTTCGTTTCTCTTTCAGGTTTCAACTTACCCCTCTTTGTTTTATTAAATTGCTCTTCACCTTCTTTGTCGTCTCAATTTCTATTTTGGTGGTGTTCAGCTACTTCCGGTGGTACTTGATGATGGATTTTTAGAATTCTTGATGAATTTTGGTGGGTTTGAATGATACACAATAGGGCTAACATTAAAACCCATTATTGATTCATGTTGTTACAACACGATTTAAAGGTTAAACGACCTTTATTTTCATGTTGATGATGGCCAATATCAAACCGATCTTTGGTGAGAACGTTAATCTAACCCGAATTTGTTGATCATCTCTTACTTTGTTACTTTGAATCAGACGTGAGTTACTTTTTAACTTTAATCTAAGTCAAATTTGCCAATAATTTTTCACTTTCTCACTTTGGATTAAGGATTAGACGTGTGTTACTTTTAAACTTCAAATTGCAATTAAATGGAATTGTTTGTTGGAACATGGAAGGACTGTTGAACATATAGGATTTTGTGCTATATTTTCTCCTCAAGATGACTGTGAAACCTACTGCAACATTTTACATTGCTTTGTAGTTAAATTAACCATACGGTTTTGTTGAACATATAGGATTTTGTGCCATATTTGCTTCTCACTTTGGATTGACAATTTACATTGCTGTCATGTCAGTGTTTCTTCCTTTTTTCTAGATATGGAATTTCAAATCTGAGCCTACTTGCGAAACGAACACAAATCATACTGAAAAACCCCTAACCTCTCTTGTCTCAGTGAAGATATGGTCAAACTTCAGGCATTTCTTTTGATGAATCAGGTACCAAGAGGAAGAATTATATGATGCAGGTTAGTCCCTTTCAATTTGCCATTATCAATTGTCTTCGATCATTCAATTATATCTGACTTGAGTTAATTCACTGTGCTTTTGGCTACAAGTTACGTCTTCTGGGGAAATTGGAACCGACAATATTATGTTGTAAGAACACTTTTACAAGATGGATACACCACCACCACCATACCACCGAATTCTGTATCTCTCTTTTAGTATTTGATCGGACTTCCAATTTTATGGTATTGATTTGATGATGATCGACTAGATAACAGAAGAGATAGGTCAGATGCAAGGAGGAGAAAGAGAAACAGTTCCTTGCTCCGTCGATTGTACGTCCCGGTCGTCAAATTGGACAAAATTTTGTAATTTTGATGTTGAACAATTGACCCCACTTGGGATAGTGATAAAAATGTGTTTGTCTTAGTGGGTTTCTATTAGATTGATGCAAACATCGGGTGAACTGTCATTCTTTTTGACTTTTAAGTTCTTGATGTTGTTTGATTGAATCTAGAGCAGACAACGGTGTTTTTGGAAGTGTATGTAGCTTGAGATTTTGAAATGGTGACTGATATGGACGTTGATATGAGCGAAGAAGATGAGTCAAAAGGTGGTATGTGGCCTTTTAGAACAGAAGATAGACTAGCCCATGAATGAAGAAGCTGGTAGATTAAAAACATTTACAAAGAAAAGGTAAACTTTTTTGCTACTTTTTGGTCATCTCTTTCATGTTTATTGTTTCAGTTTTTAATTTTCATTGATTCTTCCCCTTTTTCCCAGATGTTTTTATGCTGTTCTTTTGTTCCTTTTTATTTGAACTGGTATTTTTTACTTGAAAAAACCAATCTTTACATATGTGTGTTTGAGTTGATTCGAGTTATGATATTTCAAGAGAGTAATTTATTCACCAAATTCTATATCCTTATGTGTCAGTGTTTATCTTGATTTGGGGGTTTTCTTATTTAAAGAAAGTAATATATTCACCAAATTCAATCTCTGTTTGTCTTTTTGTTTTGTAGAAAAAGAGAATGCTCCAAAAACAGTTAAAGATTTAAAGATAATTAGTGCAGAAAAAAATATTGGAGAACAATACAACAATAGGCGAATGCAGGAGTCCTTTTTGCGATGTTCCTGGTGGAGTTACTACTATGCATGTTGTTGTTAGCCAACCACCTCAAGCAAAAAGTAAGGGTAAAATGACCAAAATACCGTTTTCTAAATGTGTGTATAGACTATTGAAGTTTCATCAAGAATGAATTGATTACAAGGTACTTTAAATACTTTTACAAGTATCTGTAGTTAGTATTCAACTATGTTTTTATAAAAGTAACATTTTGTTACAAAAGGGTAATTTTGTCATTTATCACATATTTATAATTGATTTTCAGATATGTATTTATGAAACAAACATTAATTTACAAAAAAATAAATAATAATAAAGGGTGATTATGTCATTTGTCATTTTTTACATTCTAAATCCTTTGATAATGTTACAAACCAAAGAAAAACATACAAAGGAATGTAATTTGTATTTGTATTTCATTTTGTTTTCTGTTGGCCAAAATATCCCTTTAGTTACATATGTTGTAATGACCGAAATACCCTTTTTTAAAAACATTTTAAAAAAGCTTCATGAACAAGAAACTATTAAAAGGCTAATCCTTTTACACTAATTCCTAATTGATTTTCAGATCTATATTCCAATTTCTTCCAAAATATTATTCGAATAAAAAACAAACACCTTCTAAAATCTAAATTATATTTATCTTTTTGAAAAATCAACAGAAAAGAAAGTGACAGATGATCCAAAGATAAACAAGTGTGTATGTGTGATATTTACATCTTGATTGTGGTCTTTGTATGTTTATTTACTCAGAACTGATATTATCGTTAACTAAAACAATCAAGAAAGTTTGAGGTGTGCTTAATTGTTACTTTTATTATTTATTTTATTTTTTTATTTTTAGCTTTTTTTTACTATGTTAAGGTTGAAGACATTAATAAACCGGTATGGACAACATTGTACTCATTGGAATCTACACTTTCTAGAAGAAAAGAACTTTCAGCACCTCAACAAGGCAAACCATCTTGGAGAAAACCTTATTGCATGATGGCAAGTTATTGTGCAAAAAGATTTGGTATGCTCATTTCTATTTATTTATAAATTAAAATAATAGTTTTAAATTTAAAATAATTTAATTCCTTATACATTTTAAGATGACCAAAAATAAAATACATTGTGATATTATGATATAGAATATAGCTCAATAATAAAATCAAGATTAAATTACAATTCGGTCCTTATGGTATACAGTCTTTTTCGCATTTGGTCCAAGGAGCAAAGGGTAAAGTGGTTTTTGTAAAAAAATTAATAGATGAGTACTTAGCATTAACTATTCACATTTTAATATGATCAAAAATAAAATACGTTATAACTTAGAATATAGTTTAATAATGAACTCAATATTAAATTATAATTTGGTCCCTGTTTTTTTCGGGTTTGGTCCAAGGGCAAAATGCTCTTTTTTTTAAAAAAAAAAAAAAAAAAAGACGAGTACTTAAAATTAATGATTCACATACCAAAATTGTAATTTAGTCTTAACCTAATTCTAAAAAACAATTCGATTGCAGATTGCATGTAGTAGTAAAAAGACGATGTCGATGTTACATACCAGTAAAAGTTCCCTTGGTCTCTTCACCAACCATTCATTCAGGTTACTTTCCCATTCGTTGTTTAAATGCATCCAAGTTTCAGTAAAGATTTGATACATATTTTTGCTTCAATTTAGAGTTTTGTAGGTTAGTATCAACATTGCAGACGAAGTGTAAGCCCTCAAACAGGAGTAGTTGATACCTTCTACAAATGGGGTTACTTTTGGGGATTATGCAGTAAAAGACACCTCAAGAAGGTGAACCTTCTTACTAATGATGTTTCATATAACTTTTTAGTAGTTTACATTTGACTATGGAGGGTTGTATTGTAAAGCAAGACTGGTAAGTGTTCAAACAATTAGAATTCAGAAAAAACATGTCTTAGAAAATGAACACATTCCGCCCCACCCCTCTAGTTAATAATTAAATATATCTATTCTTTATATATATATATATATATATATATATATATATATATATATATATATATATATATATATATATATATATAGGTTGACAGGTTGACCCACGAACCCAAACAGGTAACCCAACCCAACCAATGAAAAAAACAGATTGTCGGATCAAAAATCTCAACCCAAACCCGTCTATTTTTGGATTGGGTCAGTGTTGGGTTACGGATCGGATCGAGAGTTGTCACCCCTACTTATTAGGTTAAGTTTATGAGCTTATTTTACCTAAAAATAAGTCAGTTTTCATAAGTCGTTTCAATTCAGTTTTTTTTTCAACGCATGAGATTATTTATGTATATTTACGTATTTACCCTTATTCTTCTTTCTCCAAAACACCATATCTCCCTTAGCCAATTGTGTAATGTAAGCATGTCCATGTTGGTCATTTTACAAAAAATAAATTAACTCAAACACTATTTTGAAAAAAGCTTATTAGTGTATACGTCATAAACTAATCCAAACATTTTTTTACTTTATAAACTAATAAGCTCATTAGTTACTAAGCTATTAAGCTCATAACCTTAAGCCCCAAAAATTAAGCTTACACAAACACCCCATTAGTATTACTCCAACACTCCAATTTCTTTTTAAGAGTAAATTACACGATTCACCCCTGGTTCTGGTATAAAATTAAATGTTTAGTCTCTAATTTCAAAAATTAACTCAGACCATCCTTGTAATGCTTTTTTCTCACTCGGACTGTCCCTGACGAATATAAAATGACTACTTTACCCTTTTCATTTCATTTTTGATATATTTTTTAT